AAAACATTGTTTTCAATCGTTATGAGTCTACCGATTGAATAGAATTTTATTATAAACAATTGTCTTGTAAATGGAATTTTTAAAGCATTCTGAATGTAAAAATAAAGAAAAAAGTGTGCAAGACAATAAGAAACACTACCTGCCAAAAACAAAAGTTTTGTTGAAATCGGTTGAAAAATGTAGGAAATCCGGGTTTTATAATAAGTATAACTCGATATGAGTTGTCCCCCTTTGATTTTCATTAAGATGCTTCTTAATCGTGTTTTCAAATTGATTTGGTGCAAAAACAATTGTTTTTCCAATTTTTGGCACTGTCAGAACCACCGCAAGGTAATTTTACGTAGTCCTGTGAAGTTTTGTTGAAATCGGTTGAAAAATGTAGGAAATCCGATCCAATATATAAACGTACAGACACACACACACGCACACAACCTGGGTTTTATAATAAGTATGATGTATTAATATAGGGACACTTTATTGCATATATTTTTGTACATATTTGCAAACAATCCACGAACTACTATTCATATCAATGCAAACTCTTTATAATCTATATAAGCAATAATGTGTGTGTGTTTGAAGGAAACAAAAGTGAAGATTATGAGAGATGAAGATAAAAATAATAATAATAATAATAATAAGTTCCTGATTTAAAATCCAATAATACCTAACAACTCTAATACAGATACGGATAAATATAAACAAGCCCACGACACAGATTCTCTTCAAGCCTAAATCCTTATGTGATAAGCTGGGACAATAAATTTAATCTATGATGCCCACTTTTTTTTTCCTTTTTTTTTATAAGCATTTCACCCCAGACAAGGCTGGAAGCCACTAGCACGCAGGGGGTTAATATAGGATTTGGAGCGAGAGCAGATAGGAGTGATAGAGGAAAGGATGAAGAGAAGGATAGTGGATAGATCAAGGCAACTGGAGATGTCGATTGACATTACATTTGAATAGTTGGAGATTATAGCTATCAGAGAAATAGGAAAAGGGAAGTGAGTTCCACAGGCGAGAGGTGCGAGATATGAAGAAGGCCTGAAGTAAAAGAAGCAGACGTTTATCGACCGTGACGTGGTCAGAGAGAAGTTGCCCCAGGGTTGCCCAACGGAGGTGACTGCAGGGACTCGAATCTTCTACTGGAATCTTTTCCAACCAGTCCTAGGGCTCCAACTACAACAGGGATTGTTGATGTTCCCATATGCCACATTTTTGAGATTTCTATTTCAAGATCCTTGTATTTGGACAGCTTTTTGAATATCTTCAAAGATACATTGCAGTCAGCAGGGACTGCCATATCAATAAGGAGACACCGTTTTTGTTTGTGGTCTTTAATAACAATGTCTGGGCGGTTGGCTTTGATTGTTCTGTCAGTGTGTATTGTGTAGTCCCATAGAATTGTAAAAGGTCCTATCTCCGTAACCAGGTCAGGGTGGTGTTCATACCAGTTTCTTTCAGTTTCCTTCCCGTAGAAGTTGCAGATTTTCCAGTGCAAATATTGGACTACTCTGTCATGTTGGGTTTTATATTCACTAGGTGCCAATATCGTGCAACCTGATACAAGATGATCAATCATTTCTGGATATTTATCACAGAATCTGCATTTTGGGCTGACACAATATTTTAGTATATGTGCTTGATAATTCCTAGTTAACAAGCATTGCATCAAGGATAAAACCTTCAGTTTCAACTTTTAACCCTGCACTACGTAGCCAATAATGGGTACGGGTTTTGTCTACGTCAGCTTGTTTGGTACGGGCAGAGTATTGGCCACGAAGCGGTTTATCTTGACATTTTATTATTATTATTATTATTATTATTATTATTATTATTATTATTATTATTATTTCTGTATCTGACATACTGTCGAAATATGGTTAAACACTGTATGTTTTGCTTTGAAAAATATTAAAAAGTTACGCTAATCATTGTTTTATTATTAATACCGTTATCATTATTGCCTTTGATTTCTGTTGTAAACACATTTCCTTACGGGTCCCAACAAGTAACCTAATGGTAAAAATGATTAATGACATTTTCCACTGATCCTTTTTTGAAAAACCAAAACCTATAGTCACAGAGATTTTAAAAAGATAAAGCTTTTCTACATGTGTGAGCTGTCTTTGTGAGTAGAGTTTTTTGTATTTATTTACAACAGCTAAAAGGAATCCCTTCAATAAAACAATCGGAATCTTTTTCCAATAAATCCGAGGGCTCCAACTACAACTTAAATTATTTATGTCCTCATATAACACATTATTGAGATTTGCACTTTAAGATCTTTTTATTTCGTTTTTTTAAAAGATTATTATTATTATAATTAACAAAAGTATCACCATTTTTATAGACCACTACTCCTAAGCTAATTTCAAGTACACAGCAAAAGCATATGCTGCTATTATTATTATTATTATTATTATTATTATTATTATTATTATTATTATTATATTTGTTTGACGAGCGATCTCCAAGTTTCAACCAGAAAGCCCAAGAGACTGCAAGTCAAGAGATAATAATTGTTCCCCGAGTAGGTTTTATATTTCAGTGACATTCTCAACATCAATTTTCTTGATTTTATGATGTCATTAGAATGTTTAAAGGAGTTAAACATTTTTAAACCGTCTATGTGTATATACAAATAGAATTTATGTACTGTTAAAATATATAAACATATTAAATGGAAAGTCGAAAAAACAAACAAATATTGCATCGGTGTAAAATTCAGTAAAAAAATTTCCTTTGATTTCTGTTGTGCACTCATTTCTTTCATTAATTTATATATTAGGTTCTAATAATCGCTTGTATTTCTTTTATTATTATTATTATTATTATTATTATTATTATTATTATTTGTTTATTTGTTTGTTTGACGAGCGACCTCCAAGCTTCAACCAGAAAGCCCAAGAGACGGCAAATCAAGCGATAATGATCGTTCGCAGAGGCGGTTTTATATTTCAGTGACATTCTCAGCATCAATTCTCTTCATTTTATGATGTCATTGGAATGTATAACGTAGTTAAACATTTTTTAAAACAGTCTATGTGTATATACAAATAAAATTTATGTACTGTTAAAATACATAAACATTTTAAATGGAGAGACTGAAAACAAAAACAAACAAATATGGCGTCGGTGTAAAATTCAGCAAAAAAAATAGGAAATGAAATCTGTAGAATTCTGTGAATATATGAGAACAAAATTCAAGACGTATAGGTTCTTTGAAATATTCCTTCATAAACTGTCTGATAAATTTTCTCTGCAGATGTTGAAAGTATTTCAAGGATGAAATATATTAACTTTTAACTAAAAATAGCTAGTTGTATGTATGTATTTATATAATGTTCATTTTCAAAACACGGTCAATATATTGTGTCCATGTTCCTAGTTGATATTACTGAGTGTTGTTTTTTTTTATTTTTTGGTTTTTATTAATGAGGTTTCCATTATTTTTACCGTTTTTTTTTTTTTTTTTAAATGAAAGCGTTGCTGTTATTTTTGTATTATCAACACGTATGTAGCGAATAGGCTCCGGTAAGTCTTCATGAGTATTTAAATGAGACCTAATTGAAAGCGCACGGAAAATTAAAAGATTTGGACAGTTTTTTATATAATTTATCTACTGAAACGAAAAAAAAATACTAGATCATATGAGAAATTATATAAAAGCTTAATCAAAGTATCATGACTTTTGTATTTAATGAAGCATGCATTATATATATATATATATATATATATATATATATATATATATATATATATATATATATTTCATTAAATAATATAGACAAAGTGCTGTCTATTTATTTTATATAAATTCTTTTTCATAACGTCTGATAAGTTTAATAACATTATCATTAAACGAAGAAAGAAAATCACAACATTGATCCATATTTTTTAATCCAATCTAAGCTCTCGGCTTACATAAGCCATTATCAAAGATTACATTACAATATATTAAACAATACACAGACAAGACAGTGATGATAGTCTGTTTCTGTTTACATGGAAGATTTCCAAGCAACGACAAACTCGTGCATATAAGACCCCGAAAGCTAAAATCGCACCGCAGCTCATGGCGTCACACATGACCACGCGAGAGTGAAAACGAGAAGTATTAAGTATGACAAGCCGTTGGTATAAACCAATGGCTTCTGTTACCAATTATAGGCATTTAAGAATATTTCTGGAGATTTCATAGTTTATTTTGTTCAGGTTAGGTTTCAACTGCTTTATGTATATAGCTTCGAGAATTTTAAGTTTTTGTTGAGCTATCATTCAAATGTAGTGCCAAGCGTCGTGAAAGCGAGTTTCTGGTGTGACCAACGTAAAAATTATTTAATTCGTTGGAGATAAATAGACAACACTTATCTATATTAATTAATGAAACATGCATCAATGAAAAAATGCTAACTAAATACACACAAACAATACATATATATATATATATATATATATATATATATATATATATATATATATATATATTGTCATAGAAAATATACGTCCGCCGACAAGAATCGAACCTGTATCCTATTTTCTATGAAAATCTTTCGGACATTCAGGCCGGTAAATATTTGTTTAATACTATTTATTTAAACAGAGCATTTACTTAAATATTTATATCTATAAAAAGCGTATAAACATAAAAAAATGTCTTAAATTATTGTCGGACAATGTCCATTTCATTTATATATATATATATATATATATATATATATATATATATATATATATATATATTATGTTTATGAGTAAAAGTGCTCAATATCAGCGAGAGAGCGTAGAAAAACAAAAGCTAGGCAATAAGGTCAACAAGGCAGAAAACAGTGTGTTTCACGCTTGAGCGCAATCTTCAGGCCATGTGTGTTGTATGTTGACTCGACTGTTTATATATGCTACTAACGATAATGGTCAATTGTCCAGCATATATAGATAGTCGACACAAAATTCAGCACAAGTCGCCTTAAGATTGCGTTCAATCATGAAACCTTTACACAGAGAGAGAGAGAGAGAGAAAGAGAGAGAGAGAGATAGATAGATAGATAGATAGTAACAGACCGAGATAGATAGATAGATATGAACCAACAGATAGATAGACAGATAGATATGATCATAGATAGTAACAGACCGGGATAGATATGAATAAACAGATAGATAGATAGATATGAACAGCCGGATAGATAGATTGATAGATAGAAAGGAGGTGCGTGACGCAGTTCCAAGTGAAAGAACGATATTTAAAATTGTATCTAGAATTTGCATTTTTTCAATAGAGTGCGCTCCGAACACTTGCAGACACGTCATATATATGTGTGTGTCTGTGTCTATGTGTGTTGTGCCTGTGTGTGCATATGCGCACCTCTGTCTATGTGCCTGTGTGTAAAAGGAAACGTTATATATTATATTATAATTGCTGCATATTACATGAAGTTTACATGCGTCAAAGTGATAGCGACCAGACAGCGACATCTGAAACCAAACTGATCATTGAATTAGTGCCGATTCTGACAACTGCTGCCGGCATGATGAAGTGCAGGTTAGAACACAAGACAAGAAAGCTAAATAACGCGTTTATTCTTCGTTTTCCTCATGATTTGGCGCGAATAAACGCCACTCTATGCGTTGGAGATCGGCCATAAAATTATGAATGCAATAAAATCATGGGATTCCTTGAACACTGCGGCTGGTATTGTATTGCACCGGGTTCATTCCTTGTCATTGACTTTGCTGCATGTTTGTTTATCAATCTTCAGTATTGATTGGACAAAAGCGTGGGTTAAGAGTTTCTTATAACTTGTCAGAAAGAATGATATTGCTGTCATATCTGATAGGATCTGTCCAATATTCGCCTTCCAGATTCTACCGGCTTTAAAAGCGATTGCTCCGCCTTGTTAGACGATTGATTATTTTCCAACATACAACCACTTTCCTCTAGACGAAAAGTTGCCAATCTCAGATAACTTTATCACCGTTTCCCACCGCCCGGTTCAGTCTCTTCCCCGTCTTTTGAACATGTGTAGAGGTTTTTCTTTTGTTTCCTCTTTTGAGTTCGGTTTCCGGTTCCTTCTAAATTCTTAAGTCTGGCTCAAAGGTATTCCTCTAACGTCTCCGCGTAATTTCTGAAATATTATTTATTATTATTGTTTGTTTTTTTTTTTTAATAAATAAGAGTAGATAGTTTCACCTATCGTCCGGTTCACAGTCCTCCCCTGTTTTTTGAACAAGAGTAGAGTTTTATCCCTTTGTTTCCTCTTTAGAATTCGGTTTCCGGTTGCTTTCTAAAGTTTTCTCATTCTCTTTCACTCTCATTACGTCCTTGCGTCTTAGTGGGATTAATTCCACGCTTGTGCCATGTGTGGGTGAATCAACCTCATTTTTTTTTGTATTCCATTGATAAGGAGGAAGTTCTATTCCGACAGCTTCTTTATGGAACTCCCGTGTGGGTGCTTTCCCGAACACTACAATCTAGAGTGTGTCACTATTTTCAAGTGATATATGGTTTCTCCGTGTTATATTCTTAAGAACTTATATATAAATGAACACACGCGAATCTATCATTCCCTATATTGGAAAAATAATTTTTATTATCCCAAGGCTTTCCGGTTTTTCTTTTTCTAAGTTACTATGGTTTAGAGGTTTAAACATTTACGTTGGCGTTGTATAGAATTAATATCATTGTAAAAAGCTCTTATTACAGATTGTTTTTTGTCATTCCTTCCACTTGTTATTCTGCCATACAGTCTCCTTAGGTGGCATATTCGCTCTGTTGCCGTCAACCTCAAGTGGCTTTTGGGTTTATTTTTTTCAAGGAAAATAAAATTGTAACCTTTTCCGATATGGACAAACAAACAAGTCCAAAACGACTTGTTTATACGTCGGTCTTGATTCTTTTTCTTTATACACTTCTGAACCTGAAACAATCAAATTGTCAACTCATACGTTTGGTAGATGTGTTAGCCACCGCTCGGGTACTTCAAGGTTCCAGAGTTTCTTAGTTAATCTTGATTCTTTTTATGTCCTTCTGAGTTTGAAACGAGTCCAGTTGTCAATTCATACGTCCGGTAGAGGTGTTAGCCACCATTCGGGTACTTCAAGGTACCTCGGTTTACTATATTAAAAACAAATAAAAAAAAAATCGTCTGTAAATGAACCGTTCTTCCCAAAATAATTAGCAGGGAACAGGTTAAAACTAATTTTTCTCTTTCCAGCATTGACTGGGTTACCTTCCTTGCCTTGGGTTCAAAGTAACGTGCACGCTCAACAACATCAATATTTTATTATTTTCTCTCATACAGTTACATGTGCTATCCATTTTAGTTGTTGTTGTTTACAAGTGTTGTATTTTCTCTCATCTGCTCTAGTTATTTTCTTAGGCCAGTGCTGTCGTATTTATAAAATATCTCATTTCAATCAGTACTTCAGGAAAATAGTTTTATAATATCCACTAACTGTTATAGCTCTTTACAGTAATGACTGGCGTTTTCTTTCTTGCCTTTTGTTTGAAATAATGTGAAAGATCAACATCTTGATTAGATCGTTATTTTTTTTTCGAGTTCCATCAGAGTTAAATTCTTAAAGACTTAAATATATTATAAATGAACATACGCGAATCTATCATTCACCATATTAGAAAAATAATTTTAATATCAGATTTTTTTACGATTTTTCTTCGTTCTAAGTTACTAAATTCTATGAAAACTTAGCGAACTTTTATTTCAATAGATTTATAGAAACATCTCCAGTTTTTAGAAGTTTAAAGAATGATCTGCGTTTACCTCTCTCCACTACGTCCCTGCAGCAACGTTATTTAGTAAGTCAGTACCTTCAGTGGATCTTGAGGTTTTTAACTGAGTTAAAATTTAGTGACAGAAAAAATGGTGGAATGCTGTGACGCATGCGTTGTTGTCATCAGTAAATATTGTTAGTGTTTTTTGAAAGATTGCAAGCAATAGCTCTTTTTCGTCACATTAGTCACGGAAATAATTACGTTTCTGTATTAAAACAATACTAGTGTACTACTGCAGTCAAAATTGATGACAAGAAGGAATGCATTATAAGTAATATATATTATATTGTAAGTAATTTTCGTTTAATCCAAGTACAATGTTGTAATTTAAGTTAGTTCGTTGTTACGGTTAATAATTGAACAGTGTACAATTTATAAACACCTAAAGAAATGTATCCGTATATTATCCTTATAAACTTTACATATTTACAGCCGAACGTTCAAAAAGCACAATATTCTTTGTGTAAACTTTGGAGTGAGGTATTTTCCGGCTTATACGACGCAATTTCTTCCAAAAATACCCTGAAAAATACCTGTGCGTCTTCCAAGTTGAATGGGACCCTAGAATACGGAAGAGAGTTACACAAGCGAGAAGTGCAATTGAAGTAAGTCTTAGCATAGAACCTAAGGGTATATCTAACCACTGTATCTTTAAATTGATGAGACCTTACTGCTAATCTAGTACTGCGTTTAAATTTATAAAGTCTAGGTGCCACAGAGGAATGTCCGTCAAAACAGTTACTATGAATGTATTTATAGTAAAGCCACAAGGAGCCTACGTTATGTAGATGGAAAAGAGACTGAAGCCGACGAGCCAGGTCAAGACTAATAACATTGCAAATTTAAATTTGGATTTGGATGATGATGACGAAAAAGAAGAACAGGGAGGAGACGGCGAAAAAAGAAAACAGAGGTAAATAAGACGAAGACAGAGACGAAATATTCGTAGGTAAAGAATAAGACGGTAAAAAAGAAAGGACGGAAGAAAGGCAGTCGGAAGAAGAAGGTGAAGAAAAAGAGAAAGCCGTGGGAGTCAAAGGAAAGAAGAAGAAGAAGAAGAAGAAGAGGCAAAAAATGGTGATAGCTAAAAAGTAGGCAAAGAAGACGAAGACAAAGACGAAATATTCGAAGATAAAGTATAAGAAGTGCGAAAGAAAAAAGAAGATAGTCGGAAGCCTACAAGTAGAAGAAGGAAAGATAAAATCGCGCAAAAAGGCGAAGAAGAATAAGGCAAGGTCCTGAAGGTTAAAAATAAGAAGAGGAGGAAGGTCGAGAAAAATGGAAAGGCAACGAAGAAGAAGAAGAAGAAGAAGAAGAAGAAGAAGAAGAAGAAGAATGAAAGAAAGAAGAAGAAGAAGAATGAAAGAAAGAAGAAGAAAAAGAAGAATAGTGAAGTCAAAGAAGACGAAGAGAAAAGTGAGATATTCTAAGCTAAAGTATAAGGAGGTGAAAGAGAAAAGAAAACAGTGGAAGCCAAGAAGAAGAAGGAAAGATAAAATCGCGCAAAAGAGAGAAGAAGAAGGTATGACAATGAAGGTGAAGGCAAAATGAAGATGAAGAAGAAGAAGAGGTAGACGAAAGTAAAGAGAAAAGCAACGAAGTCGAAAGGAGAAGAAGAATGAGAGGAAGTATAGAAAGCGGATGAAGAAGTCTAAAAAGAAGTCAGAGGCAAAGAAGACGCAAGGAATGTCGAACTACTCGAAGTTAAAGAATAAGAAAACGAAAAAGAAAGGAAGGAAGGCGAAAAGTAAATCGATGATCTCCAAGAATATTCATTTTTTTTTTTTTACAGCTTATTAACCTATTGTAAGTTATTTAAATCCAGATAACTGTTTTTGATAGTAAGAATCTTTTGGAAATAATAAGGATTCACTGATACAAGTCTTACTAATTAACCCATAGGTTGGGGTAGAAGATGTGGATTCATACTTCTTTGAATATAAGTGAAGACCACAGATTTGAATGGAATTGAAACTCTGCTCTCCGATCAATCAATTCTATGCCGTTATCCATTACACCACCCACACACCCAAGTTTAAGGCATCTGCCATTCCCAAGTGGTCACCTATCTAGTTACTAACTAGACACGACATTGCTTAACTTCGGTGAACCGGTGTTTCAACGTGATATGGCCTACAAAAAGAAGAAGAAGAAAAGAAGAAAGAGAGAAGAAGATGAAGAAGAAGAAAAACAAAGAGAGAAGAAGAGGGAGAAGAAGAAGAAGAAGAAAGAGAGTAGAAGTAAAAGCAGCAGAAGAAGAAGAAGAAGAAGAAGAAGAAAGAGAGAAGAAGAAACAGAAGAAAAAGAAAGAAGAAAGAAAGAAAGTGAGAAGAGTAAAAGAAGAAGAAGCAGCAGCAGCAGCAGAAAACGAAGAAGGAAAAGCAGAAAAAGAAGAAGAAGAAGAAGCAGAAGAAGAGAAAGAAGAAGTAAGAGAGAAGGAAAAGCAGAAGAAGAAGAAGAAGAAGAAGAAGAAGAA